GTTTCAAAGATGTAAAAGAGACAGACACAATGGTAGAAAAAAGGGTGAGGTGAGAACTGTGGAAGGAGTCGAATATGACATACAGCAGGGTGGTGATAGTTTGAAGTGAGAAGTCAACTACCGGTTTATAGACTTTTTTGCCTTATGAGTATACGTTGCCCAGGGTGCACCACGTGGAGGTAAGTCTATCGCACACCCCAGTTATAAGTTGATATAAGGTACTTGAAACACAAGCGGCTACTTCCAATCATTTTGCTCATTGAAGGCAGTTAGAATGTGTAGTTACTTCGTTCTTGTCATTGCAGCTCTTCCTGATTGGTTGGCCTACCTTGTTGCGGGTAGTGCTCTCTCAACGGATTTTGACACAAAAACCATCTGCCTCCATACCATTCTCGACTTGATTGAGGCCTCTACTTCCATTCACGGTTGGACCGCGTGTGTTGCTGACCAGCGACAACCGGGCGAGAACGGTAGAAGCCACGTTAATCCTCCACCCAAGCAATCCCAATGGGGTCCCAGTGGCCTCCTTCTTCCGATTTTATCCAAGGAAGTCCTCAACACTCTCGCATCCACCTTGGACTTTTTCTCGGTAACTTTCTGGAGCCCTCGCTCTCCCTTCATGCATTGATTAGTTGCCTTCGTAGAGTAGGTAAATCTAAATTTAAATTACTCGTGGGGGAAGTCCATAATCAAAGGTTAACTGCTCATTGCTTCACGGCCAATCAGTTCTAGTATAGATGGTGGCAATGTTGGAATCTCTATTCTTTTTGAGGGCCTCTATATTCCTGCATTAGAAAGTAAACTCTTAAGTGGGCTTGGGCATTATAAAGCGCCCTTTTGAGGGCCATTGAGGAATTCAATGGTTTAAAATATTGAGCTCAGGGCAGATTATCTTAACAGCAGTTATACGCAGAGGTATTCTTTGCCATAGTTTGCTAAAATAGGCCTCCCTCTTAGTGTTACCCCTAATAACTCGGCTTTGTGGCCGAATTCTACCATTTGTACCCTGCCAGGAATTGGTGATCCGGTGATTTATGTTCCATGGCACTTGCGCCACCACCAAACCCTTGAGATATTGCTTTGGGAGATTAAAAGATTCAAAAGAAGAAGAAGAGGAAATAGGGAACCAGATCCAAGGCTATCGTGGAGGTTTTGATTATAGCTATTGACTAACAAGTGGAACATAAGGAGTTGTGTGGGCCAAAGTGAAGTGTATTAACCACAATGAGTGCTCGATGGAGGTATAGAGGGAGATGATGGAGAGAGATGAAAGGTTCGAACAGGAAAGTGAAGTGTGTTTGTGTGTGGGAATGCAATGACGGCTCTTACGAGTCAGTTGCAATCGATACTTTCTTCCAAACATGACAGCTAGGGTTTCGAGTTATGGGAACACTCAGTCGAACAATAAACATATTTTCATGAAAAATGCAGCCTAAGGGTAAATGTTTGAAGAGTTTTTATTACTGCTTCTTATCAAACCTTTTTATTAAGGTGTTAGAATTCGGATTAGATCTGAGTGATTTGTAAATGGTTAACTCGATTCGATCGTGAAATAATCTATTGGCTCCTATCCTAGTGATCACCTCAGTTACAACGACCAATGCAGACCTGCAAGAAGAATGGAGATAATTCGTAATTCGTCGAACATCACATTTTCCCATTTTTACGAAAAACGCTCACTTTATCCACAAATGAAATTGAGATTTAGGGATTCACAGTGATGAGTAGAATGGATGGAAGAACTGAGTTGAAGACTAAAAGAACAGTAACCGATACATTTAATGTCCCATTTGAGACGTTTTCAAGAGATCTACCTAAGGCATCGTGTCACTAGAGAAATAATTTTATCGGTAAATGTTTAATTCGCAGTCTGGTGGTTCAAAATTCAAGTCGAGTGTTGGATTTGCAGCTATCTTTTTACCAATCACCTCCTACCAAATATTACGCCGGTTTAACGTGTGGGAGCACTTGGGGAGGGAAATTAGCGGGGGTGGGGTTGGGTGGGTGGGTTGGAGAGGGTCGGGGAATAGAAATATGTATCATATTTTTTTCTACGCTCCTTGAAAGCCAAAATTGTTCGATACAATGTACGGTCGAGTGTGTTGTTGCGAGTCGACTTTGCTACGACATTTTGCTGTCGTGTTGTAGGCGTATCATAGTGCTCATGCAAACATCGATCGAAGAGACATTAATGTTGGTGTAGATTTCGGATCATAAAACCGTAAAGATGACGTCTTTTAACTGCTAATCACGTATTGTGGCCTCCCTGTGCTACTATTACCACTACTACTACTAATGATAATCACAATAGTGAATAACGATAATTTCTTAAGGTCTTATTGCTTATACACGGAGTAGTTATTTTGAGTAACACAAATGAAGTGTCTTTGGTGGAGAAGCAATGTGAGTGGTTGATGTGACTTGAGTTAATTAGCATTTGTTGAGGTGTGGCATTTCGAGCCTGTGTCTGTTACTAGTTATGATCACCTTAAATTTCTTACAATGTTTAATGAAGTGGAATGATGGGGAGTTGTGTGTGTTGTCGAGAGTGCTTGACACGGGGCCATAATTCAGGCAGTAAGGCATATTGAAGGCATGAAATGAAATGACCGAGGTACTGTAGAAGGCAAAGGGTAGAGCCTGTCTAAGTTGTCATTCATTGGAACATTTCTTGTCTCCTGGAGCACTCAAAAATGTAGTCTTTGTATGCGAAAAGCGGGGGGGGGGGGGGGAAGTGTGGAGTGGTCACAGGATGAAATTGAATATTCAGATGGGGTCATCGATTGAATGTGTTGGAGAAGTTGATTCATTCAATTTCATTTAGAAGACCAGATGGTTTGTATGCATCTTAATGGGGAATTTCTGCGTGTTTACTGTTAGATGTGTAGTGGTGTTTAGGTAGGATAGTGCACTATTTTTTTTTGATTAGCATGGCAAATGGTGTTACTGCTATTACCAATGGTTTTTGTTCTCTTCCCTTATGTCCGCCCGTGAAGATATCGGCTGTGACGTTGTGGTCCTTCTTGAATGACTCTTCGTATGCGGAAGATGCAGCTTCGCTGATTCTTCGAGTAATCTCTGTCTCTCCTCACAACACTTTCGCTTCAACCGAAGCCGTTGTTGAAAATTTCTTCGTTCAACAGTTGCTCTCCTCCGATCCTCAGATTCGTCTTGAAGCTCATGTGAGTGGATTATTTTTGTAATCCACTTGGTTTTTGTGCTGTTTTTAATTTAAAATTTATTTGTAACAAATGGGAGGCGTTTTGATAGTTATCATTAGCCCTTTAGTTGACTTCGGGCTTCACAGAGAGGAGGAGGAACATCAGAGTGACAAAAAGTCGAGAGGGTGGACAGAATAATGATTTACAGATGTGACAGAGACAGACAAAAGAGCGGAGAAAAGGTAAGATGAGTACTGTGAAATGAGTTGCATATGACATACAGTGGGGTCATGGTAGTTTGAAGTGAGAAGTCAACTGCCGGTTAATAGACTTTTTTGCCGTATGAGTATACGTCGCCCAGGGTGCACCACGTGGAGGTAAGTCTATCGCACACCCCAATTTAAAATTAATTGTTGGTCATTTTCTCCCGAATGTTCCCTTTGAACTGATCCCACGGCGTATTACTTTTCTTCCAAACTCCTACGATTAATGTCATTCATGCTTGAGATGGCTTAGTTAACTTGAGTTCAAAATTCAGCGAATCTTATTGAGTGATTTCACGTCAATAATATTCTGTATCTTGTTGTAGTTACAGGATATCCGCGGTCATTGATTTCGTTGTTACTGTGTTAGAACCAGGTCGTAATAGCTAACAACAACATGCATCAATTCCATAAAGGTCCGCTTAGGCCCAAATGCATTGAATGATGAAACTTTGAGATAGTGGATTGGGGAGACGAGTGTTCAGTTTGCGGAATGGGCTGTGGCCGGGGGGGTAGTTAAGTGACAAGAGTGATAGGTGCCGCCTGAGTGCGTGTATGTTAGGGGAAATACAAAGACACCTTAATTAAATCACTTGCTGGAGCAAATGGGTGAGGATATTA